CCTCCCGCTTCCCCCTCCCGCTTCTCCGTTACCTCGCTTCTCCGTTACCTCGCTTCTCCGTTACCTCTCTTCCAACCTCCCTCGTTTCTCCCGCCTCGCCTCTCCCCTCCCCTCCTGACTCTCGTTTCACGGTCAACCCCACTAGTCTCCGCTCCGCTCTCCCCCCCTCTTCCCCTCCCTCTTCCCCTCCCTCTTCCCCCCCCTCTTCCCCTCCCTCTTCCCCTCCCTCTTCCCCTGCGACCTCGCCCTCCCCCTCTCCGTGCTCCCGTCTCCCCGCCTCTCCCTCCGTCCCCCTGCCCTAAACACACCCAACAGTGCCAGCGCTGCTCCCAACCCGCCGCCCTCCCCCCAGCTAAGAAAGTGACTTTTGAGTCAACTCAGAAGTCACCAGCGCTGCTCCCAGCTACTTGAAGCACCCGCCGCCCTCCTCCCCGCAAAGAAGGGAATTCAGAAGCTGCGTTGCGGCAAGTGCATGCGCGTCTCTCTCTTCACAGTCAACCCCGCCGACCCCCGCTCCCCTCCCATCCCTCCGCTCCCCTCCCATCCCTCCGCTCCCCTCCCATCCCTCCGCTCCCCTCCCATCCCTCCGCTCCCCTCCCATCCCTCCGCTCCCCTCCCATCCCTCCGCTCCCCTCCCATCCATCCGCTCCCCTCCCATCCCTCCGCTCCCCTCCCATCCCTCCGCTCCCCTCCCATCCCTCCGCTCCCCTCCCATCCCTCCGCTCCCCTCCCATCCCTCCGCTCCCCTCCCATCCCTCCCATCCCTCCCCCCCCCCTCTTTCCCCCTCACAATGCCAGCGCTGCTCCCAACTCCTGGAGGTGCTATCAGCCCTGCCCCCAGCGAAGAAAGGCATTCAGAAGCTGCGTTGCGGCAAGTGCATGCGCGTCTCTCGCTTCCAAGTCTACCCTGCCAATCCGCGCCCCCCACCCCCTCTTCCCCCCTGCAGTGCCAGCGCTGCTCCCAACTCCTGGAAGTGCCAGCAGCCCTGCCCCCAGCGAAGAAGGGAATCCAGAAGCTGCGTTGCGGCAAGTGCATGCGTGTGTCTCGCTTCACAGTCAACCCCGCCGACCCCCGCTCCGCCGCCGCTGCTGCTGCCGCGTCTGGCGGCGTGAGCGGTGGGGAGGGGTTTTCCGACAACCCCGATGTGGCTGACAGCGGGAGTGAGTACCAGCAGCAAGTGCCGCCTAGATCGCCTAGGCTGCTACAGGGGCTGCCAGGAGCAGGGTTTGGCGGGGGGAGAGGAGGGATGGGGGGAGGAATGGCAGGGGGAGGGGGAGGCGGAGCTCCCCCGCTTTCCCCCCGCATGCAGAGGCCTGGTGGGGGGAGTTTTGGTGGTCCCGGGGGCCCAGGTCAGCAGGTGCACAATCCAGGTCAGCACGGGCGCATGCCGTCCAACGCGGATTCCGAGAGCACTGTTGTGATTCGCCAGGAGTCGGCTGGGCGACACGCGGCCGGCAGTTTCTACCACCACATGCGGCCAGAATCGGAATCGGATCTGAGCTCCCCTGTGAGCGGTGCAGAGGGGTATGGGGGCGGAAGGGGAGGCGGAAGGGGGGGAGGCGGAGGGGGAGGGAGGGGGGGATCTGCGGTGGGGGGCCCGAGACGGATGATCTACCAGCGGCAGAGTAGCTTTGAGTCTGGGGATCTGTCTTCCAGTGGGGGAATGCCCAGCCCGTCCCCCAGAGGACAGAGAGAGGGGGGGGGAATGGGGGGAGGAGGGGGGAGCGGGGGAGAGGATCGGGCGACGTTCACGCGGCGGGTGATTGTGAATGGGGAGCCGATTCGCGATGACTATGTGTCTGTGGTGGAGCAGCGGGCGGGGCCCATTCACCCGGGCAACTTCTGGTGAGTGCACGGATCCCCTTCCCCCCTCCTCCCCTCCCCTTTACCCCCCCTTCCTCCCCACACCCCCCCCCCCCCCCCCCCCCCTTTCCCCCCTTCCCCTCCCTTGCTTCCCTTCTTACCTGGCCAGCCCGTCCCGAGTTTCCAGACTGTGGGGCATTTTTTTCATTTTTATTCTTATTTTGTACTTTGTTATGATTGCTTTACTGCAGTGTATGGTTGCAGGTACGATCAGACTGCAGGGTTCTGGGAGCGTCTTTTTCTCTTCTTCTGACCTGTTGTACTCTCTCCCCCCCAACCCCATCCCATCCCCCCTTCGCCCCCCCACCCCCCCCCCGAATCGCTATTGTGATTGTAGTTTTCCGCAATGTATGGTTGCAGGTACACGACCAATTGCAGGGTTCTGGGGCGAGATGGGCGGCTCTCCCTCACACTCCCCTCTTCCCCCCTTCTCCCTTCTCCTTCAAAATGTTGTTTCCATTTCACTTCCTTGCGGTGTATGTTTGCAGGTACGATCAGATTGCAGGGTTCTGGGGTGAGATGGGCGGCCCTTGCCTTGGCATCATCCCAGTGAGTAGATATCAAAGCTTGCAGCCATCACATCACATGATATGTGTATGAGCTTGCATTTAATTTATCTCAAAAGAATGTATTGTGCTTGGGCTTGGGGTGAGCATGGCTGAGTATGCTACTGACTACTGCTGCCTGATTTGAACTGAGTGGATGTTCGTCAAGTGATGGCAATGTTAATTTGAAAGACTTACTTTCTTGCCTCAACTCATCTTCCTCCCACAAACCCCACTTCATCCCCTTCTTCCCACCCCCTTCCTCCTCCGCCCTCCCTTTCCTGCTCCGGGGATTGAGTTTTGAACGCCCATCCCAGTGGACTGTGGGTGGGGCGCCGTGCGTGTCTTTTGAGTCGACTCAAAAGTAGCCCCATCCCAGTGGACTGTGCTGGGGGCGCCATGCGTGTGTATGTGAACAGGAGGGAGCTGCAGAAGGACCTGGACCGCCTCATGAAAAGGGGGTTGCCCATTCCTCTCCTCATTCCACTTCTGCATATTCCCCCTCCCTTTGATCCCCGTGCTTGGTTATTATGCAGCCGGGAATCGAGTTTGGGACCCCAATCCCAGTGGACTGTGCAGGGGGCGCCACGCGTGTGTACGTGAACGGGAGGGAGCTGCACAAGAAGGACCTGGACCGCCTCATGAAAAGGGGGCTGCCCTCCAAGCCCAACATGTCGTACCGAGTGGAGATCAATGGGAGCGTGTACGATGAGGAGACGGGCGACTACCTGCTCAGCCTGGGGAAGCTCGCACCCTCGTGAGTAGTGATGTTTCCGCTGGGTGAAGCTCTGTACCGCTTCTTGAGCCTGCTTTCATATTGGCTCGACCCGAAAGCCCAACATGTCGTACCGAGTGGAGATCAATGGGAGCGTGTATGCTGAGGAGGCATGCAACTACCTGCTCAGCATGGGAAAGCTCGCACCCTCGTGAGTACGTTCTTTTTCCCCCCCTGTTACGGTGTGATTGAGTGGTGAATAGTTCCGGTTCTTCATCCGTGATGTGTTTGTGATCCGTGATCTGTATGTGTGTGGTAGGAAGGTTGGGAAGCCATGGGCGAGACAGGATTTTGAGGTTGGAATGGAGCTTGTTTTAGGAGTATGTTGGGCAGAAAGGAGGCGGTCAGGGGGAGCTGCATGGGAGTGTCTGGCGAAATAGGCTGGGTGATGGAGTGTGGGGTGGATAATCGTCATCAACAGTTCGGTTCAATGCTTCCTTATGTGCCCCCTTTCCTTTTGTGGTCTCCTTGTCTCGTCTTGCAGGCTAGAGACAAGGAAACAAGGTGGCGGCATGAAGGTTCCTGAATCTAACTGACGAGCTAGTCTCGTCCATGTTGAAAGCTCTTGGTGTCAACCGTTCTGATTACAGTATATTGATCGTCTTCCGTTTCTGTAGGTCGCTTCGGTGGCATGGCATGACAGGTCCCTCGTACTCTGTCACTAGGGCTCCAGTTTATCCGTGATGCCTGTCACTGCCCTGACGGCAGGATGGGATTACCGTATGTCATGTTCTCTAACCCATCTCAATCCTGCTATTGCCTACAGGATGTAGAGTTGGCGTGGTAGAGATAGCATGTCGGTAATTCAAGATTATTTTGTATACAGAACAGAAGGCTCCTCAATGGCTCTCCATGACAGAACATCACTTGCAATCGTAACACGCAGCTGCACGTTTTTTTGCGGAGACTAGCCATCTCTTCATTTCAGAGTGTTCATGTGCTGGCGAAACCTGCCTTGAAGAGCAGGATGGCATGGCCCTTGAGGAAAAAGTAAATAAAGTGTTTTTCTTCATGCGTCACGTAAGATCCTGCAGTACAACAAGCCAGCTCTCATCCCATGGTCGCGTTCCTCATCCTCGGTCGGAAGAAACAGACGACGCATTCAATAAAAACCATTCTGTAGGAAGCCTGGAAGCATGGGAACTGGGAAACTGTCAGCAATCCTCACCGAAATTCTTCCCAACGATGCAGTGCCACACGGGCGTGTGCTTCTCATCAAACGCTGTCTTTATATGCAGCGCAATATCTTGCTGAGCTGTTTTCGATTCCAGTGCCTGGATATGAATCACGTATATTATTAGCCAAGGATCAGCGGTGTTTGGAAGCTCAGATAGCACACAGCGCTAACCTCGGTCGCTATCGTAATGGCGTCGTTCTGCATTTCCTCAGGCATGTCAGACTTCTTGATCTGTGCTTCTGCAGCCATGGCGAACGTAACTTTTAATCGCAGAGATGCTGGACGGAAGTTCAGACCAAATTGGGTTGTTTGTTTGAGAAGTGGATGAGGGACCTTGCGCTGACCTCTTCTAGTGTACGAGGCGTCTACGGCAGAACTTCAAATTTGGAGGAACCAAGGTTTCGTGTTGCTCGCAAACCTCTGGTTTGGCCAGGCCAGCCAAGCCAATGGCTAGATACTGTATTGTCCACTTCCCAGTGGCACAACCTGGGGAACAGGCCAGGGGTGTGGTTTTGGTGTGGCATGACAAGCAGGTTTGGTTTGGCGGAAATACTGGTATGCCGGTTACCACTTCGCTAGAGCTTGGTGTGGAGAACATTGCATGCCTTTTCGCAGCGTCGATTTTCTCAATCTGTTGTGGGGTGGGATGGTCTAGGATTTTGAAATTCCTAAGTCGAGTACCAACAGAATGGTATCTAGAAGTTGTTACTAGGCTCACGGTTTGGGTCCTTCCATCGCGTCCAGCTATTCTGCAACCGCGCGATGTCGCGAAACAAGTGATGATCACGTTGTGGGCTCATGTTAGGTTCATACAACGCGTTACATGACCCTCGCGATGGCTCGCAAGAGCTTGCATCAAAGAATAAGGAGCGCGACCAAGATTGTTGAGTCCATGGAACTACCACGAGAAATGACGACAAAAACTGGTGAGCTGCGATTCTCCGCGAAGGCAAGATTCAGAACGTGGCGGACGATAAACGGGTCCAATTGACGTGGAAATCGCATCCGCCTTGGGTGGCGTCTGCACACATTCAGCTGTCCCACTCTCTCACTGCAGGGATGGTTTTCCACCTGGAGAAAAAGCCGAGTAGAGCATTGCGCCGTGAAGAAAAGCTTTGGTTGGAAAGCCTGCTCAAGGTATGACCGTCGCATCTGGCTTTTACTTTGTTTGCCGTGCTAAGATACAATAGTGTCAATCACTCAACGATGGCTTCTTCATGATCTGTAGCATTCAGCCTCTACGTTCCTTCCAACAAACACGCCTTGTTTCGCGTGCATGATCTGCTCCAATAATCATGGCAGAGGAACATGGAGGCGCATTTCTCACCTGAAAATTGGCCACAAGTGCTCTCGGATAAGCTAACAGAATCTGTGGAGCCTGACGCCATCTATCTCTTTCTCCGAGAATCGAAGGCTGTCAATCAGGCCACTACTGATGCAAAATCAGTGGCTGTAGGGAGCATGGCTGCATGCACAGCGGAGACGAGAATGAGGGCAAAAGCTCCAGGGACCATATTTTCTGCCGACACTTCACAGCATGAATGTCAAAAACCCTCCGAGCCTCAAGTGCAGGAGGAAGGAAGATCTCAACAGCAGCGTCAGCTCCAGCTTTCGTCCAATGCAAGACTTGGACACAATGTCACAAGCCAGCTGTGGAATACCAATGCCTCATATCAAGAGATGTATGGGGGATGTAAGGGGACTAACTGCACCACAGGATGCAAGCTTGCAGGCTTTATGCACTTCCGTATTGTGGAGGAGGATGAGATGGCTTCTCTGTACGTGTACGAATTACAAGTGGAGGAGGAATACCAAGGAATGGGTATCGGCAGCAAGCTGATGAGGATTGCTGAGCTCATTGCAAAGAAGGTATGACAGCTGAACCCCGTTATCGAACTTCTTCTTCTGTTTGTCTTCTTACTCTATTGCACAAACATCACCATAGCATGAAGAGCCATAGCCCTTAAGTTTTATTGCAAGTTAAATAGTTCCATTGACTAGCATACAGTGGACACTTTGGTTGCCTTCAATTTCCATCTGTACACCTTTCCACATTTTTCCCGTCCCAGCTCTTCATCCCCTGGTCCTGCCCCGTGTGTGCTTCTTCAATTCGTACCCTCGTTTTCTGATTTGCAATTTTTCTCCCAGTGTGGGCTTGATGCCATCTTCCTAACAGTTCAAAAGAAAAATACAGCTGCAAGGACGCTGTACATGAAGAAGTTGGGGTGAGCAAATTTTAGCATCAGGGTCCATCCAGTATGATAGTACTGTAATTGAAGCAACCCATTTGACGTATGGACCCCCTCATTGCAGGTTCCAAATTGCGGATCACTCACCAGCAAGGGTATGACACTTCCCCTTGCAGATTCCCTTTTGGCATTAACCCCCGACTACACACATGGTCAAATAGTTGAAAGGTGGACCGGATTCATTTTCCCTGCACCACTCCCACCTCCTTTCAATATTCTCTTCCCCCCTCCTTTCTTTCTCTCATTATCTCACTAACTCTTTTCCCCACGCTTCCACCCACAACTCACACCCCTTGATTCAATGTTGCGATGCGTACAACAAATTGTTATTCGCAATTTAGCAAGGATTTTTTTTTTTAAATCTTTGCCGTTTTGCCTTATCCTTACAGGATGAGGAGCGGGAGTACGAGATACTGGTAAAAGAAGTTGCCTAACTGTTTGGAGAATATATTAATTTCGTTCCACTTAGTGTTTTCACTCTTATTACGGTAATTACGGCTTGCATAGGCACACATTCACCAACATTGTCAGTGGAACACGCGTGGCGCAAGCTCGGAATGCTTATCAAGGCAGTGCAGTGCACACAGACCGAGGTGTCAGACAGTGTCAGTCCAGTTAGGCCTGCCTTCCGTCCAAAGCTGAGTCTTGGAAAAGCAGCAAAAGCAGCACTGAGGGTCGGGGAGCTGCAGCACTTATTTCTGGGACGAGTCCTGGCCTGCACACAGTAGGAGAGAACGTTATAGGCCGAACTGCGATAGGTAGGAATATTACTATGGCGTAATAGGAATGCCATGGTTCTTGCTAGCCTTCCCACTTAGCTCTATCACGATATCGAGAGCTAGTTTGTGCTGTGGACCGTGCGCTTGAAGCGCTACGATATGACAGGGCCACTTGGTCGGACCGCGTACTCTAGTGGTAATATTACGGCCGGCGGAGGTGGTAAAGACTTGAAGAAGCCGAGCATCGATCGAGCCGAATGTGGTTCGAGCGTGGAGACCCCGAGCAAACTCGTGCGGCGACGGCCATGGCTGGCCAGTCCTCTCAAACTGGCCACGCCGCGAGTCTCTAAGCCGCTTCTCCTCCTGAGCATTCTCGTGGCTGTATTCCTGTGCTACGCATTCAACCCTAGCGTACTTAACCGTTATTTTGCTGGTTCTACGGGGAGAACCACATTACGTACCGTGTCTTTGAGCGGTGACGCCAATGTAACTTGGCGACAACCCGAGGAGGTTCACGTTGTGTCCCGGATTGTTCACTCCAGAAACACGAATTCGAGGAGTTATCGCTTAAACATTTCGACCAGCTGCGTGGAGGTGCTTCAGGCAGCCGCTAAGCTCCCTGGTGCCAGGAAAATTCTTGTCAGTGCTTCGCGCTTAGCTAAGTGCAGAGGCGATCTATGCTCGGCAATGCAGCAACTCGCGAGTCAAGCTTCAAAGAGAGCAGCTTCAGCTGCTCTGAACGAGGATCAGAGATTTTCCTCTGCAATGAGCAAGCAAAACGGTCCATTAACCCCTGCTGACCTGCAGGCTATCCAAGAGGGTGACCTAGGATTGGTGTGTAGCAGGGAGTGGAAGCACGGCCTCATGAGCCGCGTTCCTGACAATCATTTCTTCAGGAAGGTTCTCAGCGGCAACCGAACTTCGTTGGCAATCATCTCTGCTCAGATCGACTCTATCTGCGGGAGAATACGAGAGATTGAGCATAATCTTACCAGAGGTCTCGATGCGGACAGTTTGAGTGACCCTGACAGTAGCAGCAGCATGAGTGGCCCCGACAGTCCGTGCAACCACTGGCCTGAGTCGTGCTGGCCCGTGCCTGGCATGCCCTTTTTCAGGCTCGCTGTAAGCACATATGCGGGCCGTGATGACCTTTGTGCATATCTGTTGCCTTGCGTGCCCGTCTCCTAGCTCGCTGTGACTGCAAGGGCATCTGGTTTTGTCGCTGGCCTGTGCCTGGCAAGCCCTTTTACAAGCTCGCTGTCGAAGGTAATCCGTTCATCCTTGCTGCTCAATATGTTTTCTTATTTCGTATCTTTTCTTACTTCCTTTTCTTTTTCAGGATTTTGGTCGGCGCAAGTACCTGGTGTTTGCAGCGGTGGAGGAGCAGCTCACCAACGCCAAGATCCACTTCATCGAGGCGGCTAAGGTCGCCAGGGAGTCAAACCGCATCCTCGTCCTGCCCAAGGTGCTCGCTCTCACCCCCACAACTCTGCCTTCGGTGCATATGTGCGCTCTCGTGCCATCTCACGCCTTCCCATGCCTTCCACGTCATCGAGGCGGCTAAGGTCGCCAGGGAGTCAAACCGCATCCTCGTCCTGCCCGAGGTGCATGTCAGCTTTCCCTGCGATCTCTAATTTTCTCAAGCATTCCTGCGTGTCTGCCATCCATGCGTTTTATTCCCGCGCTCTCAGGTGACTTTTGAGTCGACTCAAAAGTCATCTCTAACTTTCTCCTACATTCCTGCGTGTTTGCCATCCATGCCATATGATCCCGTCGCTCTCAGACAGCCCGCCTGCTTCTGCAAAGAGGGCACGCATCACTCTCATTGCTACTCTTCTTTTTGTTTTATTCTGGAGTCTCTGTAGCTCCGTGTAGCTCAGTGCTATCCCTGCAGACCAGCTAACTGGTTGTTGCCGTTTCACCACATCTTACCTTCATCCAGAACCCCCCCCCCCTCCCCCCCCCTCCAACTCTTCTTCTCTCTCCTCCTTCCCTTCCCCTCCCAGGGCGGGCACAGCCACCTCGCGGTGGGGCGTCCCATGCCCATGTGCGCCTACTGCGACCTCGCCCACCTCAACAGCACGGAGTGGGTCTCGCCTGAGTTCTTCCTCCTCGTCGCCCGAGCTGCCTTCTCCACTCTCTCCCTCGGCTTCCTCTGTGTGGACACGCCTGACCTCTCCAGGCCCTGCTTTGGAACCAGTGAGTTCTCAGTGCAACGAGTATTCAGTATTCAATGCAGTGAATACAGTGCAGCCTTTTTTGTGATGTGAGCCTTCAGGCATGCGTCTCCCACCCGTCGGCTTCCTCTGTTTCGACACGCCTGACCTCTCCAGGCCCTGCTTTGGAACCAGTGAGTATTCCGTGCAGTGGGTTCAGTGCAGTGGGTTCAGTGCAGTGGGTTCAGTGCAGTGGGTTCAGTGCAGTGGGTTCAGTGCAGTGGGTTCAGTGCAGTGGGTTCAGTGCAGTGGGTCCATTGCAGGAAATTTTGTGACGTGAGCCTTCAGGCATGCGTCTCCCACCAACCCGTCCCTCGGCTTCCTCTGTGTCGACACGCCTGACCGCGCCAGGCCCTGCTTTGGAACCAGTGAGTATTCCCCGATTTGATCGCATCAACAGCTTTGTGGCTAGAATGCTGTCTTTTAAAGACTGATAAATCAGTGCAGTGAGTTTAGCGCACCGAGCCTTCGGGCATGTGAGCCTTGAGGCATGTGAGCCTTGAGGCATGTGAGCCTTGACGCATGTGAGCCTTGACGCATGTGAGCCTTGACGCATGTGAGCCTTGAGGCATGTGAGCCTTGAGGCATGCGAGCCTTGAGGCATGCGAGCCTTGACGCATGTGAGCCTTGAGGCATGCGAGCCTTGAGGCATGCGAGCCTTGAGGCATTTTAGCCTTGGGGCATGCGAGCCTTGAGGCATGCGAGCCTTGAGGCATGCGAGCATTGAGGCATGCGAGCCTTGGGGCATGCGAGCCTTGAGGCATGTTAGCCTTGAGGCATGCGAGCCTTGAGGCATGCGAGCCTTGAGGCATGCGAGCATTGAGGCATGCGAGCCTTAGGCATGCGAGCCTTGAGGCATGCGAGCCTTGTCGCATGTGAGCCTTGACGCATGTGAGCCTTGACGCATGTGAGCCTTGACGCATGTGAGCCTTGAGGCATGTGAGCCTTGAGGCATGTGAGCCTTGAGGCATGTGAGCCTTGACGCATGTGAGCCTTGAGGCATGTGAGCCTTGAGGCATGTGAGCCTTGAGGCATGTGAGCCTTGAGGCATGTGAGCCTTGAGGCATGTGAGCCTTGAGGCATGTGAGCCTTGACGCATGTGAGCCTTGACGCATGTGAGCCTTCACGCATGTGAGCCTGAGGCATGTGAGCCTTGAGGCATGTGAGCCTTGACGCATGTGAGCCTCCCCACGATTTGGTTTACCTTCAGGGGGGAGCATGTCGTCCACGTTCTGGTAACCGCATTACTGTGCCCTGGCGCTGTTAGGCTCTTCCATCATTTCCGTACCGCACATAGGTGAATATCTCTCACCACCCCCCGGGCTGTCCCTTCAAATGCAGGGGGGAATCGCCGGAAGCCTGGGCCCGGTGTTCACCCTCCCTGACCATGGCCGTTCGTCATGTCTCCACATATGGTTGAGCGATGAGCGCCACCTTCTCTATTGCATCTATTGCAATCCGTGCCATTCTCCACTATTCTGGATGCCTGGAAGCCTGCCTGGACCCAGTTCTCACCCTGACCGAGGGTCAGTCTCCACATATGGTTGAACGATACGCACCTGACTTACTCCCCTGACTTTCCCCCTGCATGCAGAGGAGATTGCGAGAAGCCCAGAGGCGCGGCTCACCCTGGCCATGGGCCATTGCTTCACCCCACGTGGTCCATGGATGAGCATGGGTCGTCATTCCCCTGACTTCCCCCCCGTGTGCAGAGGAGATCGCGAGAAGCCTGGGGGCGCTGCTCACCCTGGCCATGGGGCATGTGCCTGCGCGTGGCAACATAGTCAAGCTGCACATGCCGTCCCGCATCGACCATGTGCAGACGCTGCTCAAAGCCTGGTGAGTCTTTCTTTGAGTGGACTCAGTGGTCGCTTCACATGCAGAGGAAATCGCTGGATGCTTGGGGGCAGTTTGTTTGTTTCTTCCCATGCGTGCCAACACCATCAAGCTGCACATGCCGGCCCGCATTGACCATGTACAATCGCTGCTCAGAGCATGGTGAGTCTCCCTCAATGCCTCCCCTGGTCCGAGCGTGGCAAGTCTACTTTTGAGTCGACTCATCATGTCTCATGCGAGGGGCATCGCTGGAGACCTGGGGGCACTCTGCATTTTCCTATGTGCGACAACACTGTCCAGCTCCACATTACAGCTCGCATTTACCATGTGCAAACGCTGCTCAAAGCATGGTGCGTCTCCCTCAATGCCTCCAAAGACGTGTGGCTTGCCCACTTCCTTACGGCGCATTGCAGGGCTGACAGGGACGTGGTGATCTACTCCAAGAACACCTTTGACCGCTTTGACAAGGCAACGGACGACATTGCGCAAGATGTGATGCCCTATGCGAAGCAGTGGCGTGATGTGGCTGACAGCATTGTTGCTGGGCTTCCCAAGTCATTTATTGCTGTCCATTTCCGCTCCGAGTTCATTGCGTTTAACCTGGTAAGTCATGTTTAATCATAAAATCTCGGCAAGTATGTGTGCGCGTATCACCGCGTTACACTGCTTGCATTCTCGTCTCATCGCCCTGTTTGGTAGTCCAAACGATTTCTGTTTTTTGCATGCACTTTAATTTCCAAAACCTCGCCACAATGTTTCCACGACGCACGGTGGTGCCGCCATGAGCAGGCGGAGGAAAGAAAGACTGATCTATCTTCTGCAGAGAGGTTAAAGATCCTGGGAGATCGTATGGAGCAATGCACCAGGTTCGCCGTCCGGCTGATTAACCGTATGAAGAAGACACATAACGCAACTACTGTTTTCATTGCCGCCGATGTACCGTATAACAAGTCAAGAGCAACGCCACGCTCCGAGTCTTGGGGGGCCATGTCTTGGGCGTTTGGCAACGGCACGCTGACGGAGGTGCCTCAGTACTGGCTGGCTTGGCTGAGGAAAGAAGTCAAGGGGACAGTCATGATTGATGAGCTCATGCCATCTTTGAGCAGTCAAGATCCAGGTATGAGATAAAAGTCCCTGTTTTTTTTTTTTTTTTTTTTTTTTTCCCAGATATCTGTCAATATGGTACATGGACAATTGGGTGACATGGTTGATGCGTTGCGATCGTGTTGCTGCAGGAATCGTGGCCATTGTTGACAAGCTAATATGCGCACAGTCCACGATCTTCCTAGCTGGCTCTGGAGCATGTGGTGGTCGTCGTAATTTTGAGAAGGATATTCTCCTTCATCGTCGAAACATATTGGGCGAGTCCACTCGCATTCCTCGATGGGCCAATGAACAAAAGGTGCCGTGGGATAAGGCTTAGTTCAAAAGAGCGCTCATGTGATCTGTATCGTTCAATTGTTGTGCAAGTCTAGCGCTTTGGCACGCAAGTCTAGTGCAAGTCATCCGGTATCGATATCACTGCAGAGTGTATACTTGTAGCCATTTCGGTACCTCATAACGGGGTTGCTGCAGATCAGCAGCTGCACGTCTCACTGCCGCATGCGATCTCCGCGCCTTGCGTGCATCCCGACTGACACCCGTGCGACTGCCTGTCGCAGCGGTACATTTGCAACCTGCTCGATTCGGGTGTTAGTGATTATAACGAAGCCTGGATGAAGCAAACCGACGACAAGATTGGCTTGATGACAGCAATGCCCAGTGGTGTGGTGTGTGGAGGAGTGTAGGGGCAAGAGCTGAGGCAGTTACCGTATTAAAACGAGACAAAACAGAGTTTACCGCTTTCTACCATGTCCATTTAGTATCAAGGCGAGACTGGCCACCACCACACACCCCTCCCAACAGCCAGCCGTGACTTGTTCATAAGCGCACGTTTGGCCAAGCGACCGAACCGAACAGATCTGGCCGAGCTTCCACCACACTGTACCACGCGATTATCTTACTGCAATATGCCCAAATGTTCTTGAAGCCTCTATACCACTTCGCCCGTCCAAACTGTTCAAACACTAGGCTGCGCGCACTAGGCTATTGATTCTGTCAAAGGCTGAATTCACCTTCGTCCGAAGTTCTAAAACCAAGGACTTGCTCTTTCTCGTTCTCCTGACGCTTTAGTGAGGTTCGTAGGTTTCGCCGGCTATGTTGTGCTGGTGACGACTCGAACCGGTAGAGAGTCGGATAGAATGTGGGTTACAGTCGCATGACATGTCGGAAAGAACAGGTTTGTTTGTTATCTGGTGGATTTAGGGATGACTGGCTGGAGCTGTGTTGGAGAATATAACTTGCCAGGATGTCGCGAAGAACTTGACTAGCGAGAGTTCAGAAAAGCCGATAGAAATAAGACTCTACCAATTACCCCGTTGCGTATGATTCAGAGGGTGCTGGGCTGAACTGATCTGAGCTTAGCTGAGCTGACGCGGTGTCTTTAGACGGCCGCTTTTGAGTCGACTGACAGAAAACCCGCCGCGTTGGGAAGGTTGCCGAGCTTCGCGCCGACCGTCTCACTCACCCATGTGATCGTCTCTTCCTGCCACGTCGATCGTCTGACCCTTAGCTCCACGTCAGCTTTACCTCGATCGTTTGACGCATGCGACCGTCTCTTTGCTTCTCCTCAGCGTCGCACGCGCACCCCTCCGATGACGACGACGTACAGTCGATCGTCGCACCCCTCTGACGCCACCGGACTCAGCGACATGAGTCCAAACTCGTTTGGAATCAGCGACGTGAGGCAGCAAGACGCCTTCTTTCGCTCGCCGACCGTTCTCGGAGAATCGCCGAGCAAGTTCTGTCGACGGCGACCGTGGCTGGCTAATGCGCAGACCATGGCCGCGCAACGGTCCTTGAAATCCGTTTTGCTCCCAATCATCGTGATCGGGATGTTCGCCTGTTGTTCGATCTACGCGGGGATTATCAGCCGGTATCCCGGAGTGAATCTACGCCGTTTGTTGATCTCTGACGTGTCATCCACGGCGAATGACGATCTGAATCCGTCAAACGTCAACCGGAGTTCCCAAGGGTCAACATTCCAAATTTCCGAGTCCTGCATTGGCGTCCTGAAAGCAGCAGCCAGACTTCCCGGCGTCAGGGTGAGATTTACTCCGATTCGGCTGGCAGAATGCAGCGTCAGTCTCTGCCAGGACATGCGGCATCTGGCTCACCAGGCGTTAGAAAGAGCGGCAAATGCAACGAATCTGGACGCTGCGACTCAGCAGAAGCGACCGTTGCGAATCGGTGACGTGGAGCTGCAGCAGCAGCAGGGGGACGTGGGGTTCGTGTGCAGCCGGGCGTGGAAGCAGGGGCTGCTGGACCGCGTGCCGGGCAGCCGGTACCTGACCCGCGCGTTCAGGAAGGAGCGCATCTCGCTGGAGAGTGTCGCAGCTGGCGCCGACTCCGTCTGCAAGAACGTGGCAGAGATCGAGCAGTTGCTGGCGAACGGCTACTCTGATGCCAGCGGCACCAGCAATGGCAGCAGCAGCATGAGTGGTCCTGACAGTCCGTGCAACCACTGGCCTGAGTCGTGCTGGCCCGTGCCTGGCATGCCCTTCTCCAAGCTCTCGGTGAGTCCCTTAGCCTCCCCCCAAAGGGTTCCTGAAGAGATGATGCTCATCCCTGGTGCTCTCTGTGCGAGGTGACTTTTGAGTCGACTCAAAATTCACCTCCTTACAATGCCACACAATAATTTCTTAGGCGCCTCAAAACTCGAGTCGACTCAAAAGTCACCTCGTTGTGCGTGCGGTTCAGTCATGCCTGCACATCATGTCTTGACAAACGCCACTCCTCCCCCTCCCCCCCTTCCGGCCCCCAACAACCCGCTACCATAGTTGACGTCTGGTGCAGCCGTTAACTGGTTTGCAGCAGTGGAGGATGACCCGTTCATTTGCCTTGTGGCTTTTTATTTACTTCTTCCGTTTCCACGACTTTTTTTCCTCTACTTTTCATTTCGGGACTTCAGGCGGCGCAAGCTCCTTTTGTTTGCAGCAGTGGAAGATGGCCCCTTCACCCCCCTGGTGCACTTTCTTTCTTCCTTTCTTTCTTTCTTTCTTTCTTTCTTTCTTTCTTTTCTATTTCGATTCAGGTCTTTGGTCGGCGCAAGTACCTGGTGTTTGCAGCGGTGGAGGAGCAGCTCACCAACGCCAAGATCCACGTCATCGAGGCGGCGAGGGTCGCCAGAGAGACGGGTCGGATACTGGTCCTCCCCAAGGTGCTCTCTCTGACCCCTTTATCTCTGCCCAAGGTGCTCTCCCTGACCCCTTTATCTCTGCCCAAGGCATTTATGCTTTCCTGGCCTTCCACGCTGTTGAGGCCGCACGGGTCGCCGAAGGTGTGCTTTTGATGCCTTGCTTCTTTCTGTGCCCCCTCTCGCTGCCTGAAACGGCATTTTGTAGGCGCCTCAAAAATCGCCTCAAAAACCGAAGGTGTGCTTGTGACGCCTTACTTCTTTCTGTGCCCCCTCTCGCTGCCTGTAAAGGCATCATCCATCTGTCTGCCAGCATGCCGTCCCCTCCCGTTGGCCTCTCCTCCTCTCCATCTCCCTTCAGTTCTTCTCTATCTCCATTTCCAGGCCACACGACACCAGCTGGTGGCGGTTGGTCGCCCCATGCCCATGTGTGCCTACTGCAACCTCCTTATGCTGATGCCTTTTTGCCTTTCTCATCTGGCTGTTTTGTCTTGTAACCCCCCTCTCCCCCCCCTCTCTCTCCCCCTCTCCCCCCTCTCCCCGTCTCCCCCTCTCGCCCCCCTGCCAGGGCGGGCACAGCCACCTGGCGGTGGGGTGCGCCATGCCCAGCTGTGCCTATGGCGACCTAGTATGACTGTGTGCCTGTCTGTGTATGTATTACTTCCCCCCTCCTCCCCACCCCCTCCCAGGGCGGGCACAGCCACCTGGCGGTGGGGCGGCCCATGCCCATGTGCGCCTACTGCGACCTCGCCCACCTCAACAGCACCGAGTGGGTCTCGCCTGAGTTCTTCCTCCTCGTCGCGCGAGCTGCCTTCGCCAACCCTTCTGTCGGCTACCTCTGCGTCGACACGCCTGAGCTGGGCAGACCGTGTTTCGGCACAGGTGAGCGAAGGCAGCAAATGCTACCTGTAGTCAGTTCAAGAGATGCCTTCTCCAACTCTTCTGTCGGCTATCTCTGTGTCGACACACACACACCTGCGCTGGGCAGACCCTGTTTCGGCACACACACACCTGCGCTGGGCAGACCCTGTTTCGGCACAGGTGAGCAAAGGCGGTCGCTCTAGTCAGTTCAAGAGCTGCCTTCGCCAACCCCTCTGTTGGCTACCTCTGTGTCGTTGGTTTCGTTGGTTGCCTCTGCTGGCCGCCCTTTGTTCCTCCACGAGCAGTCGAGATCGCAGGGAGCCTCAGGAAGGTGGACTTCTCTCTAGCCATGGGGCATGTGCGCACACAACACATGCACCATGTGGTTTTGGAATGCTAGCTGTGCCATGGGGCATATTCGTCTGTCGTTATTCGTTGTCGTGTGAGCAGACGAGATCGCAGGGAGCCTCCCTCGGTCCCTCGGGGCGGACTTCTCTCTAGCCGTGGGGAATGTGCGCACACAACACATGCACCATCTGGCTGCGGAATGCTAGCTGTGCCATGTGGCATATTCATCTGCGGTTCCGTTATTCGGTTATTCGCTGGCATGTGAGCAGCGGAGATTGCAGGGAGCCTGGGGGCGGTGTTCACGATGGCCATGGGGCATGTGCCCACCAAGGACAACACCATCTGGCTGCACATGCCCGCCCGCTTCGACCAGATACAGTCGCTGCTCGATGCGTGGTGAGCTGGATGGGGTAAATGCCTCAGGTATACATGGCAGCCTAGATGCATGGTATGGTACACCCTGCTCAGTGCATGTCAATGCTTACAGGTTGGTGTGCAATGTCTCTCCCTGTTTGCTTTCCCGCCGGCCATTCCTGCTTTCTCAACCTTCGTTTGCTATGCACAGTCGTCCGCTCCTCTACGTATTCACCCCCCCTTTGCTCCCCTCTTCCTTTCTCTCTCCCCTTTGCAAGGGTGAGAGTGTTTGTTCCCATGTGCTCCTCCCTCACCCTTGCAACTTTTGTGACCCAGGAACCAGCACAGGGACGCGTGGCGGTCAATGCGAAGAACACGTACGAGCGCTTTGAGCGGGAGACCGACCGACCACACGTCTCATATTATTTTTTAGTCGACTTTTGAGTCTTCTCATACCATCCTCCCACACACCCCTTCAGAGCACCTCCTATCCAGCCGTCAATATATTTCTTCGTTTCTTTCCGTTCCTCCCCCCCAGGAAAGCACAGGGACGTGGTGATATACGTCAAGACCACATACGAGCTCTTCGAGCAAGAGACAGACAGACGGCGTGTCTCGAGACATCCTGCCACACACCTGTTAACAGCACGTTTGTCCCTTGTGTTCCCCCCCCTGTGACCCCCAGGAAGCACAGGGACGTGGTGATTTACACCAAGA